ACTTAATCAAAATTCACTTTTCAAGCTTCTGGACCTAAAGATTTAACGAATTGTCACAAATTCACTCTCAGAAAGAGTAACCTCTGGATTTGTCATTATTTTCTGGCATTTGAATAACATACTTTAAGAAGATAAAACTGCTGGTAATTAAGTTTATTTCAAGAAGAACATTGACAAATGAGCATGAGTTCACAGGAGAGTAAGCCAGCTTGGTGAAACAAAACTCGATGACTACCATTGAGTAGATTCCAACACACAGTCACCCTGTGAGACAGGGCAGAATCTAGCCCTGTGAGTTTCTGCACTGTAACCCTGTAGGGAGTAGTTAGCCTTGTCTTGCTCCTTCAGAGCAGCTGGTGTTTTTGAACTGCTGACCTTGTTGTTAGCACCCCAAGGTGTAACCACTAGAACTTGAAGGAGGAATCAGGAAAATGCGGCATAGAAGCAGTAATTGAAGGAGGAGAGCATGTTCATCTTGAGCAAGATAGCAATATTTGACTGTCTAAAGGACAGATGTTAAAAGAGTAGGTTTAGTTGTTTTATACTTTGGAGAAGAATTAGTTTTGCAAATCACAAAAAAGTAAATTCTTGCTAGATGAAAAAAAAAATTTTTTCTAAACAAAAACTCTAACATAAAATGACAATGATGCCTCTAAGGTGAACCAGAGATATATAAGCGATAGATGTGTGAGTGGATTTGGGGCTTACATTTCATTCTAGCCCTAATCTAAGAACAATTCATTCTTGTGGCATGGCCCTGCTTGATGCTTGCCTTCATGAAGAGGTCACTGGAGGTGTGAGTTCTGTAGAAAAGTGTGGTGAAGAAATTAAATGGTGCTTAGCTGTCAGAAAGAATAGCCTCTGGAACCCTAAAGGCTTGTTCTCAAGCAAGCAGCCATCTAAGTGAGCGATTAACTTAGTCCACATAGAAGAAGCACAGCAGCCTGTCTGATCCAAGGGTTGTAAATAATATAATCCAAATATGAAGGAGGAAATGGTATCAGAGCTTAAATTGTGAACACCTGGTTTATAGAAGGCTATGGATGACAGTGTAAGCCCAAAATCCATTAGCAGGATCCCCACACGGATTAAACCTCCAGTGAAGCCCCTTTGATCGTAGTTGAGGGATGGAAATAACCCTGTTATCACACAGAGTGTTGCAGAGATTGGGGCAGACGTAGTCAGGTCAAATGTAATATCTTATCATTTGATAGCTCTTTTGACCCATTTTAAAGCTATTTCAGCTTTTGTTTTGTTTTTTAAGTGAAGAGGAAATGCATGTGCATAAAGCCCCTGAGGAGTCCCCTCTGACCATGGGTGAAGGATGGGAATAACCTTGCTGTCAGGCAGACTGCATTGGGAAGTGGATTT